GACGAACTGTGAGAGAGGACGTTGAGCAAGGAATTGATCCAGGGATCCTTGCGCTGTTCGGATGGCATGTCAGTGATGCTCAACGATGACGAATCGCAAATGGCAGTTGATAAGCAGGCAAGGTCAGGAGGCAGTGGAGAACGGGATAGTGCATCGGCGTCTGAATGTCTGCGTCCTGAGCGATAAACAACACGGATATCGTATTCCTGAAGGCGTAAAGCCCAACGAGCGAGGCGGCCAGTAGGATCTTTCATGGACGCTAACCAGCATAAGGCATGGTGATCTGTGACAACATCAAACTGGCGTCCGTAAAGGTAGGTGCGAAATTTTCCTATAGCCCAAATGATAGCCAAGCACTCCTTTTCCGTGACGGAATAGTTGGACTCTGCCTTCGTTAGTGTACGGCTGGCATAGGCGACAACGTACTCGTCGCAGCCATCCTTGCGTTGAGCGAGAATGCCACCGAGGCCGACACCGCTTGCATCTGTGTGAATTTCAGTGGGTGCATTTGGATCGAAGTGGCGGAGAACTGGCGGAGAGATGAGTAGCCGGCGTAGCGCCGTGAATGCCTCATCGCAGTGGGAATTCCAGCCTGAGAGGTCCGCGCTACGGGAGAGAAGCTGAGTCAGAGGGGCAATTATAGAGGCAAAGTTGCGAATGAAACGCCGAAAATAGGAACACAAGCCTATGAAACTACGAAGCTCTTTTAGGGTAGTAGGCTTGGGGTACTCGGCAACGGCACGCAGTTTGGCAGGATCTGGCGATATTCCTTCTTTTGAAACGACGTGGCCGAGAATTGTGAGTTTGCGGGCGCCAAAACGACATTTCTTGAAGTTAAGTTGCAACCCGGCTGCCGTAAGGCACTGGAGAACTTGTTCCAGACGGGAAAGATGAGTTTCGAAATTCGCCGAGAATACAACTATGTCGTCTAAATAGCAAAGACAGATGTGCCATTTAAGTCCCCTGAGGACACTGTCCATCATTCTTTCAAAAGTCGCAGGCGCATTGCAAAGACCGAAGGGCATTACATTAAATTCATATAAGCCGTCAGGGGTCACAAACGCCGTTTTTGGACGGTCTGGTTCAGCCATTGGTACTTGCCAATATCCAGAGCGCAGATCCAGTGAAGAGAAAAACTCCGCACCTTGAAGGCAATCCAAGGCGTCATCAATGCGTGGCAGGGGATAAACATGCTTGCGTGTGGTGTTGTTTAGTCGACGATAATCCACGCAAAACCTGATGGAGCCATCCTTTTTTCGCACGAGGACCACTGGCGAAGCCCAAGGACTGTGTGAGTGCTGAATAACACCACGTTGCAGCATCTCGTCGACGTGTTGAGTGATGACATCACGCTCGGCCTGCGAGACGCGGTAGGGGCGGTGACGAAGTGGAGTATGATGACCGGTGTCGATATGGTGAGCGACAACTGACGTGCGTCCCAAGGGAGGTTGTCCGTGGTCGAAGGAGGCGCGGAAACGGTCAAGTAGTTGAAGGAGCTGATTGCGCTGGTCTTGCGTAAGGCCGGTGTCTACGCTGCGCAACAGAACGTCTTCGTCAGGTAGTGAGGGCGCGGTGCCAGCTGTGACAGCATCCACGGACATCGGTGTCGTATCAGAACGGGCATCGAAAGGAAAGATGTCATCATAAGTGTCAAGACTCCCAATGCATTCGCCATGCAATAAGGTAGCGGGACAAGGGAACGGATTGCACACGTACACGGCACTGCAGCCATCGGCAAGTGTTATGACGGCAAACGGGACGACAAGGTTCCGGCGACGAGCGCATTCTTGCGACGGCATAAATAGGGCAGTTGAATCGGAAACGGAGTTGCACAAAAGAGATACCGCGGTGACCGAAAAAGCAGAAATGACGACGTCAGCGGCGACGATCACCTTTTTGGGTGAGCGAGGGAGATCTATGAATGTCGTGCTGAATGGAAACAAAACGAGTTGAGCACGAGCGCAGTCGACAACCGCATGATTAGCGGAAAGAAAGTTCCATCCCAGGATGATTTCATGAGACGCATGCGGAAGGACGACAAATTCAACGATGTAAAGCACTCCTTGAATCACAACACGAGCAGTGCATGTGGCAGAAGGTTGGACGTGTTGCGAACTTGCCGTGCGTAAAGAAATTTCAACCAGTGGAGTCGTCACTTTGTTCAGTTTGCGGCATAACACTTCACTGATTATACAAATAGCGGCACCTGTGTCGACAAGAGCAGTTGTGGCGAAACCGTCCACAAACACGGCAATCTCGTTAGGGGGCGATAGATGAGGCCTTGGAAATTTCGTCGGCGGCGCAGCTCTTGCCTCAGGAACTGCGACTGTTAGTTTTCCTCCTGGGCGTGGTTGGAACGGCGAAGCATGGGGGAAGGAGACCGAAGACGGGGTGAAGGAGATCGACGTCGGCTGAAGTCTGGTCGACGTGGGCGGGGGTCATGTGAATCAGGTGTCACATGCGATTCTGATGGCCGTGGTATGTTGCCGGAATGCTGCACATCATTAAAATAGAATCCACGGCGACGACAGCAGCGCGCGACATGTCCTGGAATACCACAGTTGTAGCAGACGGGCCGGCTATCCGGAGTACGCCAAGAGTTTACAGGTGCTCGAGGTGGTGGAATGGGCCGATTTACCGGATAAACTGAAACTGGTGACCTGTAGTAGTTGGTGGCAGGACTGTATGAAGGGAGCGGCGGTTGGGCCGGAGGTCGGCGTACGGCTTCTGCATAAGTCAGCGGTGCAGCCACTGATATTGGGGATGTGGGCGAAGGGAGAGCCTCGGCAACTTGCGTCTGAATAGCACGGCGAAGTGAGTGGTCCAGTGTTGTGGGGGTCTCGTTGATGGTGGCGACAAGAGAGAGCTGTCGAGCAACTTCCTCCCGGATGTACTGTTGAATTTGAGGCATTAACACGCTGTAGTCGGAGCCACTGCTTTTGCACTCCAAGGCCGAAATATCAGCTGTCTGTGTATTAGCGCGACGTGTAGAAACTCGTTGCTTGCGCAGCTCATCGAAACTTTGACATAACTGAATCACGGCCGTGACGGTCTGTGGGTCTTTGGCCACAAGCATATGAAAAGCGTCGTCATCAATACCTTTCATTATATTCTTTATTCTGTCAGCCTCCGTCATCCTGGCATCAACTCGCCTACAGAGGCTGATCACATCCTCAATGTAGCTCGTGAAGCTCTCACCATTTCGCTGAAATCGTCCCCGCAGTCCCAGTTCAGCGCGAAGCTTACGCATGGCTGGACGACCGAAAAACGAGGTGACGGCCTCTTTGAAAACCGACCAGGTGGGGATGTCGGCTTGGTGGTTGGTGAACCATAGGTTGGCCAAATCCGTCAAGTAGAAGATGACGTGAATCAGCTTCGCAGGGTCATCCCACTTGTTAATCGCGCTGGCATGCTCGTACTCTGCCAGCCAGTCCTCGACATCTTGATCTTCAGTGCCGTTGTATACTGGTGGGTCACGCAGACGAAGTACACCAGAACACATGACAGGTGGCAGCGTGGAAGAACCTTGTGGGGGATCGACGCGCTCGGTCATCGCGGACTGAGATGGTAGCTTACAGCTGCGGAGCTCCAGGACGTTACCCAGCACATTTCCACCAAATGCAACGAGCAAGGTTGCGTAAAAACACAGGTTATTATTTCAGAAACGTTAGCCGCAACAAGCTGGTACAGGCAGGAACCCGGCAAGCACGAGCCACACACGGACGTCAACGTCTTCTTTCACGCTGGTACAGAGCTGGCGCCACTATGCTTCGGTACACTTAAAGAGATTAATAAAGCTCTGGATAAATGAGACACAACAAGGGAATGTGGGCGTCTTTTTTTTTTTTTTCATTTTTTTCCCGTGGATTGCAACGAGATGCGGGGCTAATGTGTCGGCGTTTCGCATGTGTTCGTGTACCCGCGGTCAGCCCATGGAGCAGACGACCGACGTGGAACGCTCCTACGTGTTGGCGCACTCATTGTGCTCATCTATTCTACCACGTATAAGGCAGCGCTTCCAAACCATTCCGCAGAAACGGGCAGAATACCACAAAATAACGCTGGTCAACAAAGCAACGCTGCTCGCGTGCTCGGGGATTGGACTTGTTTGGGCACGTCATGCGCACGTGACCTCTTGGTCGGAGGCCATGAGAGGATGGGGAAGAGATTTGGCGTGCGAAGCTACGCGGAGGAGCGGCAAGGGTTTCGAGCTCGCCTCCTCTCATCCTCGTTTCGTGCCGCTTCAAACAACCCGTTTTCTCCGCTCGTGGTGAACCAATTCAAAAAATTTTTGTGGCAAAATGTTCCTCATCGGACACCCAACAACTTCCACTGTCTAACTAAAATTTGGTATGGGGCCTGGTGAGTGGCCCTTTAAACATTGTTTCAATAGCCAACAATCAGCACTGGCTACCACACAGAAATAAAATCCACACATACATAAGAAAACTTGTTCACTTTATTTTTTTTTTCAAAGGCCAAGGTGAGCAGTGGGTTCATTACAGGAGTAAGTACAGTAAGGGCTTGCTTTCTTTTAACAATGTGTGCATTGTCAGTCCACCTTATTGTACTTATAACCTCAATCTCATTCTGTAAAATAGGTTTCCTTGCTTCAGCATACCGAAACCTCACTGTAGTAAAATTTCAAGTATAGTGCTGTCTCAGACTAGCGTAACGAAGGAAAAAGGTTAAAACAAAATGTGTAATAAAAGTTTCTGTTAAAAAACTGCTTTGAATTACAAATTGAAAGCGAGTTTTGTTTAATCATACATTAACATTGGTTGCCATCTGAGAGTGCTAGTTTCTCAAAAGTGCATTATTGCGTGTGCAGAGGATTTGTAGTAACATTTAAATCGCTGTGCAAAACTGATGATGGTGGCCTCCTGCTTATAACAGCTGGCCACGATGCTAATGGCACTAGCATAATGAGGGCAAGCAGGGGTGTTTCGTGATTTAAATTTGAAAGATTTCACAGTTAGGCTTGCCTTCCCATGTTGCAGCTGAACCGTGTGCACGAGCTGGCGGAAAATATGGGCAAAAAGCTGGCTGCGGCAGAGGCGAAAGGTGCCGATGGCAATGTCGAAGAGTCGCTCAAGCTCCTCGAAGAGGTGGAAGAGATTCGGCGGAAGAAGGCGGAGGCAGAACAGGACTACCGCAACTCCATGCCTGCCTCGTCATACCAACAGCAAAAGGTGACATTTGTGGCTCGTATTCAAAAGTGCCTGTGTCATGTCGACTGAGCTTAGGCGTGATACTATTGTAAGACCTTGTGCGCATATTGTAAGACCTTGTGTGCAAACCAGTTGTTAGTCTGCACATCTTCTAGTGTGGTTTTGTTCCCTGTGCAGTTTATTTCAGTTTTAAGTTGTTTCATCTCGTTACAAACCACCTTATAATGTATTGTAATAAAAGTACAAAAGGAAATTTAGTGGCGCAGCAACCAATGGCGATCACTCATATTTGTGGCGTTGTGTTGCGTGCGAACAGGATGGGCTGCTGTTGAAATTCATCATGGGGTAGTGTAATTCAAGGTGAAGGTGTACCATTGTATTACTATCCTCTCCAGTACAGTAAATTGAAAATCTCTTATACAGAACTGCTGCTTAAAGGGAGATACAATTCGGAAAAAAAAAAAGTTTCGTTAATCTGTAGCTTAGGGCAATGATCCTTGTCTTCCATACGAAGTGTCTCTTATAAACAGGGTGCCATGATTTTCTTATCAACCACTGTTTCTATGTAGGCCCTCTTGTGTCTCTTATACTACAGTCGCCGACCGATTTTCCGGACTCCAAAAATTCGGACTTGTTGGATATTCCGGACTTCATAAATGCACCGTCAGGGATCCCATAGAGCTAATGCATTGTTTCGACCGATTTTTCGGGCGAATTTGCCCCTGAAAGTTCGATTTTTCGGACTAAATCGCTCGTTTTGTGCCACGCCCCAAGCCATTGTGAACGCCGCCATGTTTGATTTTCCGTCGGCTTGGCTAAGCTTGGTCTTCAGATGCCTTTCCTGCCTCCGAGATTGGAATGCGCACGCCATATTTAAAGTTTCGGAGGCCGTGTTTGCTTTTTAAAAGACGCGGTGATGGATGCCGTTTTTTCGTCTTCGGTCAGCACTATCGTCATCACATCGCACGGGGAGGAGGCGAAAGAAGGATTCTTTTATTGTCATTGCAGCTTTTTTCAGTCGCCATTCTGCACGTGTTGTGTCGCGTAGCGTCGAGACGTTGTGTGCTTCGCAGCGGCTATCTGCGGCATCGAATTTTGTGTTCTCGGTGCCATGGCTCCGCCATCTGTGCCATCGCGGGAGCCAGGTGGTGTGAAGAAGCGGGTGAAGTATCGACCCTGACGATGGAAAAATTGCCTCCAAGCGTAGTTTGAGGCAAGGCAGCATCAAGGACTTTTTTAAACCTGCCTGATGCAATAAACTTCGGATTTTTGGCGAAAACGAATTTTTCGGACTGTTCGATTTTTCGTACTTTTTTTTCGGTCCCCGCCAGGTCCGAAAAATCGGTCGGCGACTGTATCAATGTCTGTTATCAAGGTGTTAGACTGTGTTGGTAGATTGTCACACAGAAGCTCTCATTAGTGTATGTGGCAGAATGAGTTAGAACTTGGATAATTGAGTCTTCTAATATATCAACGTCGGACTGGTGCTGTGTGCAGTTGCGGGTGTGCGACGTGTGCTCCGCCTACCTGGGCATCCACGACAACGACCGCCGGCTGGCCGACCACTTTGGTGGCAAGCTGCACCTGGGCTTCATTGCCATCCGTGAGAAGCTGGCCCAGCTCAAGCAGACCGTCACCGACAAGCGCGAGAAGGCGCGCGCTGAACAGCTCGCCGAGCGGGCCTCCTCCCGTGGCGGATCAGCCCCGTGGCGAGGCGGGCCGGACAACCGGAGCCGCAGCCGGAGTCCTGCTGGCCGTCGTGGCATTGACGATCGCCTTGTGCGTCGCAGGTGAGCGGCTCGAACAGTAATGGGAACAGCAAAACGGTGGATATAATGAAGCAAGGAAGGCTCTCCTCTCAACTTCGTTTAGATGAGATCCAATTGTGCCAACTTTAGCAAGTTTTGTGCTTTAATAATTAAATATTGACTATTCCCGCCACACTGTAATCGTCGTCTGACTTGGTCGAGTTTCCTTTCTTGAAAACCTATCAAGAATGCTTTGTCATGGCGATAGTGTATCAACAGGCAAAGTATAAATGCGCACAAAGTGATGAGTGGTGTGCCTAATTAGAACATCAGGTCATATTACTTCGAGTATGTTTCCCACAATCCGCCTTTTCCACGACGCCGCTGCGCATGCGCCCTTCCCTAGCGGGAAAGTCGTGAAACGACTACTGGTCGCGGCGGCCTTCATTCTAGCAATGCCAGTTCTGCCGGCCGCTACCAAACCTTACCAAAACGCCAGAGGGCAGCACAAGAAAATTTCGAAAAAGGCGGATCACCCGAAAACCCGACCTAGTTATGCTCAACCCATGAAGATGCAACGAATGGTGCGCTTTCACAGCAGTCTCCTAGCTTGTGTATCTTTTTAGCTTCGGTTATCTCATATCAATGTTAACTGTAACCTGTGTCTTGCCATTACAGCACTCTGATGAAAAAAAAAAAACCATCAGGCCTGTGTGTAATGTGAACTAGGGTCACAGCGAAAGCTGGAAGTGCGTCCCTTCTCGAGCCCTTTTTTGAACACCCTCGGGACAACTACTACTGGGGCACTACAGCTACACTTGCACGGCACCCACCACGCCATAAATCATAATTTTGGTGATGTGGGGAAGCACCCACATTACCATTGCAGATTCTTTGGAGAAGCATGGCACACGCAGCTCAACTACAGTAAAACCTCGTTAATTCGAAGTCACTGAGGCCGTGGGAACGCCTTGAATAAAGCGGGTTTTTTTAATTAACAGAACATACAAAAAGGGGGATGCAAGGATCTTAGAACTATCCAAAATAATCGGTACTCGTCGGTGCTCGGCTAGCTTGCGGCTCCAAAAGGTTATGTTTCTCAGCAATACGTGGTCTTTATTTTTCCGGGGACATGGAGGAATGGTGGGCTTCGCTGCTGCCACCGAAAAAAAAACAAAAAACGTGGTTGTGACTGAAATATGCGCCTGCAGAAAACTTGAAATCTTCACTGCAACACAGTAGTAACACGCGGACAGCATGTCGCTTGCTCCTCTCTGTGTCAGCATGTTATGATGCGTCCATTTGCACATTCTTTCTATTATAATGATGAATTTAATAATGACCAGTATGACGAAGGTCACGATGTGTTTCTGCTGGAAAAAATTATCTTTGAAACTTTCAAACTTGGTTTTCGAAGTAGGTTTTGCTGGCAAGAACTCCGCTAGCAGTGCAAAGACGCAAACTGCTGGCGGCAAATTAGCGGTAATTGCACACATCGCGATTTCCGCTAAACTGTCCTTTATCAATTTCTTTACAATCCCAGAAAGCATGGGTAAACCATGACCCGCTGACGTTGCGAGAAACGTGGGATAAGCTGCCCGCGTGTCACTACTGTATTGCAGTGAAGCACAGCTCATTTTCCGCAGGCGCACATTTTGGTTGATCGCGAGACCATTTTATTTTTATTTCTTTTTTTTTCTGTGCTGGAAGCAGCGAGACTGGGATGCTTAAGCTGCCACTCATTAGTATCGACATGTTGCATTGCCTTGTGGCAATTAAGGGGGCACACTGGTCTTAGAAACTTTTTTTTTGCTTTCCAACCAATTTTAATGAAACTCCATGGGCTTGTTCAGTTTTTTTAGCTGATTTCAAATATCCAATTAGTTTTGATGTAAACTAATTAGTTCCCGAGATAATTAAAAATCTTTCGTGATTGTTCTTGAGAACAATAGAAAAAAAACTAGTCAACAAAAAATTACCAGCATGGCATGAATAGATTCTAGAAGTTGTGGAGAATGAAATGACGGAAGCAGTTTTTTTGTCTGGCAATCACACATGCAAGTTTACATCAGTTCTAATTTCTCGGTTTAAAGTATGCCTGCTAACCAGTTATTTAAACAATTATTTAAACGTGAAATGCAAAATCTTTTTCCCTTACTTCAAGGTTTAAACATTCAGCTTGACAATGCAAAAGAAATTATCTTTCTAGCTGCACCGCATGCCGAGATGTACCTCTCCAGAATTTCCTAAACGTCAAAAATATGCATTTTGAGAAAATGGCAAAAAACATAACGGTGCCATGTTTAATGTAAACGGTAAAACATTCTGTACATTTTTGGAGCGAAATGACTAGTAGGCCCCAGAAGCATAGTCCCCTTGACTGCTGGCATCCAGGTGCCGTTTCTTGAGCGTCCGCTGCACATTTTCTGCAGACGCACGCCTGAGGGTAGAGTCCCTGGTTCGGCGGCGGTCTTTTTCAGCCATGCGTTTGCTACTCAGTAGGGCGGGGTTCAAGCACAGCTCTTTGAGGATCTTGGATGATGTTACTTGACTTCCGGCATTAAACCTCATCACTGCCTCGGCGACCGCAGCTTCTACACTGTGCAGTGATGCATGGCGCTCCTTCGGAGCCAGCGACCAAATCACAGAGTGGAGACTTTCATTACTGTTCTGAGTCTTGCCTCGCTGGCAGCGCTCCAGCAGCTTCTTGTCCGCCAAGCGTTCGTACACTGGAAGCAAGGCCTCACAGACATGCGGCGGCAGGTTGTAGCGGTGTTTGGGGGCCGGCTCACCCCTGGCCTTGGCAGCGTTCTGGCGGCACCACGAGTCAGGACCTGTAGGGCACAGGCTGTGGTTGGACACGGCATCGTTGGACGTCACATGGTGGTATGTGGCCATCACAGCATTGTGCATGGCTGGCACGTCCCCTTTGTGAGATTTGATGGCCCAGCCATAGTAAGAGGTCAATTTGTTAACCAGGTCACCAGTCAGCTGCCCCCTACCACTGAGGCTCTCAGAGCCAGCTGGCCTCTGCTTGGGGAGATTGCGCAGTTGCGTGCCCATTCTCTTCTGGACGTGGTTCACACATTCCTCTTTGGTTACCTTTATAAAACCATACACATCTGCTTCCTTCAAAGCAGGGTAGGTGCGGCAGTCGCCATCAGAAAGAACTGTAGTGTATCTCAGCTTATGACGCTCCCACGACCTCTGAAACAGAATGAGGGCAGCTTCCACTTCTATCTCTCCAGCTTTTTTTGTGCTGTTTTTCTGGCAGTGGTGGTTCGCTTTCCACTCGTCGTAGGACGGGTCACTTTCTTTAGGCGCCCGCTCGCAGCCGGCACAAAAATTGCAGAGCACGACATAATCGAGCACAAGCCCCGTAAACAACTCGATAACTGTGCCGACTCCGATGTGCGACGAGTGTCCCCTCGTCATCCAGGAACCTTCGTACGACACAGCGATGTTGCCCGGGTTGCCGAGGTCCAGTTCCGCGTACAGTTCCCGAACCGATCGCGCGCACTCCGCGGTCAGCTTTTCCGACGCACGAACAGCTGCGGGCGTCAGTTTCGTCTTCACGTAGCTCTGCCACGTTTTGTTGTGCAGGCCGCGCGAAGAAATGTTCATCGATGAAAAAACGTCGTTGAATGCCGTTTGCCGATTGCCAGTAGACTGCATAGCGCGCGCGCCCAAAACATTGATGGCAAACGGCTTTGCCTTGCTCTCGCCGTCAACGCGCGGCGAGCTCCATGCCACCGACACATCGCCGCAGGTCGCGCACGTAAGCACTAGCTTTACGGCAGGGCTGTACTCCCTGTCCTCTTTGCCGATGTTTACATCACCGGAGCACAATTTGCACTTCACTGCACGCATCAGTTCGTTCACCTGGTCCAAACTCACGATCAAAAACCGTGTTTCGTCCAGCGGCGTGGCTGCGGCATCGTCGATATTGGCTAACAGGCCGCACTTGCGTTGTGTTGCTCCAGTTGAAGCGAGCTCTTGCAGCTTGTTTTCGGCGTTGCGACGCACCTCTGCCACTTCTAACGGGTGCAGCACTGCTGTGTCAAGACGAACGCGGCCGCTGCCGGATGCGTTATCTTGAGCGGGCGGCGGCGGAGGTGCTAGGCCTATGTTATCAGGGGCCTCGCCGCTGGCCACAGAAGGTGGGTCGCTTGCTCGTTCAGCGCTCCTCGCTGACGCGGAACGGCCTTTGAAGTTCTCGAGGAGCGACTTCTTTCTTTTTTTGCCGTACTGATTCCTTGTGTGGAATTTCCTTCCGGCTTTCCACATCGCGCGCGATCCTTGGCTAATCCGTCGTTCTCAGTCCGAGCAATATGGCGCCTGACTGCGCCGCCGACGGCGCGAAGCAGACGACACACGCCGCTTGCGGCCAATCGCATTGCGCTGTTTAGTCACGTGCGCTCGCCGGCGAATAGGAACGCGTATTTTTGCTTTTTTGGCGCGTGTTTTCTACTCTACCAATGAGCGGACAGGAGCCAGAGTGGCGGGAAATTGAAGACCGAAGACCGCGCTTTCAAATGAGACCTAGATCACTGCGATACTGCCCGTGGCGCAGCCGCGGGGAATTATTGAAAAATTGCCATTTTGGCGTCAGAATCTCGCCAAATCGGGCCCGTACGGCTTTTATAAGTAGCTGTTACTGTTCAAGTACCAACTTTTCGGAGGAAAAACTGAGCAAACTAATAGAAAAATACCTGTAGATTTCAAAAATGACATCTAAAAAAAATGCGTTTTTGGGCAATTTTTCGGCCCCAAAGACCCGTGTGCCCCCATAATGGCCATTGTTTCCGCGGATTCGCGGCGAAATCGGGATCTGGAACTGGCACACGGCACCCAATGTTTTCGAATTAACCAGACTGGTGCTGGCCGCTGCTTCAAACTTGCATTTAAAAAATACAGGACTGTGGAAATCCTTTGAAGTCGCACATAGGCTGGATTTTTATATAACTGAGTTCGAAATAACGAGGTTTTACTGTAGAAGGCATGTGCGCATTGTTGATCCTGTGGCTGATTACGATAATTGT